CCCCAAAACCCCAAAACCCCATCTCCCATTTATAGAAATTTATAGAAAAATATTAAATTTATAAGAAATAAAATGACAAGTGATCTATAGTAAGACATGACAGAACTCAATTCAATCTTCGAAAATCTTGAAAGACTAATGATTTCGTAGGATTTCTTTAATGAATCAATGCCAAAACCTTAGTAAGATGAGAGGAAATCATAATCCCCAGATGAAAGTCAATACAGACAAGATGTAATAAGTTTCAAATTGATATATTTAGTTTAACATATTTGATGACTTTAAAAGATAAATGAGTTAATTAGAGGAAAAATTCGAATTGTCTTAGACAGACTCAGCGAGACTAAGCACTCACATCAATAATAAATCTCGCTAGAACATCCAAGCTTATAAAACTAGTAAAGAAGTCAAATTAAAGCAATAAAAGCTGAATTCAAGGAACATTAATATGCATGGAGGCATGAGCAATGATATTTCTCCAAGAATGTCTATAAATACGTCATCTGCAATGTCTAAGCAAACATAAGATGCAAATTTTGACAGACTATATAACAATTTTAAGATGTATGAGTAGAGGCGGAACATCAAGCTTGAGAAATTGCAATAGGAGGAACTTTTGAAGATGTAAGATAAGCCTCAGATTACATAAAAATCAGAGACAATAATGAAGTCAAAGGCAGATAGACTGCCTATCTACTCTGAGAAAAGAATAAAGAAAGAGAGGATTATGAAGGAATAGATGGAGATTTAATTGAAACTTTAAAATTAAGACCATAAGGAAGAAGTGATAGAGGAAAAATCTCCCTCAAAAATCAACCCTGAAAGATTCATTCAAAACATGGAATAAAGGCAAGCTAAGTTTAAAAGCAAATGGAATCAAAACAAGAAACTTGACTCAGTAACAAGGAATGAAGTTTTCCCGCATAAACCATTGATTAATGATTATAATAAAACTCAAAAACTGTTTAATAGCTCGTTAAGGTCAACAAAGCTTTCTGGCCTTCAGGAAAAATCAGGCTTAATAAAAATGCAAGAATATTAAGAATTGAAAACTGAGAGACTTTAAAAGAACTCTGAACTTCTACTGAGCCAAACATGTACATTTAAGCCATCAATTAATAAAGAGTACAAGCCCAAAAAGGTTTAGAAGAGTAAAGAGACCAGTTATAAGGCATTTCAATAAATATTCTCTGAATTCAAGCATTCTGATGATATACTTGGACTGCTGTAAGGATACTCTGCCAATTGAATTCTCTTATTTCAAATTAATTTAATATCATAACTAAACCATTTCTAATTCGATATTAAATCATGGGGTTTTGGGGTTTTGGGG